CAGAGCAGTCAAGATTTTGCAAAACAAGGTCAGAGGAAATAAAGATAAATAATCCGGCCTGTGGTCCTTTTCCTGCATGTCTCTCCCTTTCCTGTCAGCCCACTTTCCATAAAAACAAGCCACTAGTTCCATAAAAACTAAACAAACAAAAAAAACAAAAATACTGTAGTTCAGTATTTTTGTGGAGAAGGTCCTCGTTTTTAAGATGTTTGTTTACGCCGGTTGCCCAGTAGGTAGCAGTGCATCACACAGGTTTATAACATCAAGATCAAACAGGGTTTATGCACTTGAAAAAAATAATCGATATCTAGATAAGTTATTTTTTTCTTAAAAATAAGTGCATTTGTTCTCGGATTTGGGAGGTAAAAGATGCATTTTGCCAATGGAACAAAACAATTTACACTTAAAATAAGAAAACATGATTACATTGTCTTATTTCAAGTGCATAATAACTAATTGTCTTATTTTAAGAGAAAAATACTCATTCCATTGGCAAACAATCTCATTTACCTGTTCAAATTAAGGGTAAATACACTTAATTTCAGAAATGTTTACTTATTTATAGATCCTTTTTTCAGTGTGGATAGCTGCCCAGACTATAAAGCATGATAGCCGTAGCTCCTGAGCGTCTCACTGCGCCCTAAAAATGTATAATCATCCTGCATCCACTTAGCAGCAGATATTGAATCATTTAGCTTCTGCCTTCATCCTTGCATCCCATTAATGCACATTTCAACCCTGAGCTCCTGTTAACCAATCTCCTGTATCACCTTACCGCTGCAGGCCTCAAGCAAATATCGGGTTGAACAGAACCCAAGCTGGACAGAGCTGAAACCAGAGGTCCTGCAGGCCTGCTGCCGCCACAGAGTCCAAAGATGTTTCCCTAATCACATCTTTGTGATTCAGCTTCTGTTAATCAGATGTACAGTAAACCCACATTCCTAATTCAATATATGAATAACTGACTGGAATTCAGCCTGCAAGGAGACATGGGTAGCTTCTATGTTCTAATATCAAGTCCAAACATTTTCAGACTTGAAATATAAAGAAAAAAGTAGTCAATTTTCAAAATTTTGGCAGGAAAATATAAATACATAAAAGGAAAAAGTGGAGCTCAGACAAGAAACAGCAGTTCAGGTTTATTCATGAGTTTATAGCCTTAATCACAAGGTTCATGTTTCCAAATAACCAATGAACTGTTAGATGGAGAGTAAAGAAAGAGAAATAAGACAGGAAACAGCGCTCCTGTTTGGTGAATTTGGATGTTAGATAAAAGGAGGCAGAATGACAATAGCAATGACCTCAGAGGATCTACAGCAGCTGCCCCAACTAAAGAGAAACGCCTCAATAAGATCCAGAGGAAATAAAAAATATATGTTACTGATATTGCTCTTTGATAAATTGCAAAAGTGCCAAACATTTACAAATGGTTGCCCAAAACGTTTTACCATTATGGTTCCAGTAACTGGATCAATCGATTTATACGTTATCCTTTTTTAGGGGCTCGTTCAGGAGCGCTACGATGCAAAGCGATGGGAGAGACGTGCTTCTAGCAATGACGCTATTTGGAGGTTTGCAGTCATGAGATCTGTGATGGATGTGCAGGGAGTGTCGCTGGAGTTGTAAAAAATCTTGGTTTTTGTCAGTTGTAGGGGTGAAGAAAGAATTTGATTTGAGCTCAAATGGCGTTTCTAACATTTAAAGATTCAGAATTGATTCTCATTTTCTTGGAAAATGATTTTCTTTGTGGGTGCGGATGTGCCTTATCAGGTACCGTAGTGTTTGGCGAAACCAATGAGCAGCGTGAGCTATGCACAGGCATGCAAGCGTTAGCTTAGCAGGCTGCAGAGTGGCGTGTAGTGTTGTGTGAGCTATTGTGCTAGTTGCCGCTAAAGTATGGAGGACGAAGAAAAAGAAATTCAACCGCTTCCGCGGTCTTTAAAAGAAACCATTTGGAAACACTTTGGATTTTACCTTTAACCCGGCCTGGGTAAGAAAGGGCTTGACATGACTCATGCGATTTGCAGAGATTGCAACGGTAAAGTTAAGTATTTCGGGAGTACTTCAAATCCCCGTTCTCATCTTGAAAGATTTCACCCAAAGACAAAGTGTTGACTTGGATTCATCCATCTGTGTTTACATTATTGCAATAGGTAAATAAAACATTTACAATTATAAAGTCTTTATAAATGTACTCTTCTTTCATGACAGCAGACTGGAATAGATCCTGAGGATCGTTTTGAATCATAAATTAATCATTTCTGAATCGAATCGTTTGGATTTAAAAGAATCAGAAAAAAAATCGAATTGTGACCCAAAGAGCCGATTCTAAATCGAATCATGGGAATCCCAAAGATTCACAGTCCTAGTCGGTTGGGGACGACTAATCCGGGCCGGGCTGTGATACAGGAAGATGGAGCCCAGCACAGACTAAGGCCGTTTCTCTATATGTGTACTTGTGAGTTCTCATGTGACCCCTCCCTGTTTACCAAGTATGCATCAGAGCAGACTTGTCCGTTCTTGAAGATTTGACAGCTGTCCCAGCATGCACTGCCGCTGCAACAGCTTCCATGTTAGCGCTCAAAGAGCTCAGAGTATTAAGGTAAAAGTAGGGATGCACGATATTGGGATTTTGGCCGATATCCGATATTTTAAAACTCATGTAGCCGATAACCGATACCGATGTTAAAGCTGGACAAAAGTAAGTAGTCATTGAAAATAGCAGTTTTGTTATCCATTTCTGACACTTTGAAAAATATTATACTCAAATATATTTTCATATGCTGATATCAAATAGATTTTTAAAAACGCGATATCAATCTATTTTACTTTCAAAATATCGTGAAATTTTTCATCATTCTGTTACGAACTCTCATGATATTTTGCAAATTCTTGTG